GTAGTATGTACTAGGGGGAGACTTATTACAAAGAAAAAGGATAGATACTCTGGTATTGATCGTCACTCATTGCTGATTTTAGCTAACAAATTAGTTAACTTGGGTATATAGGTATAGTAGAACTAGACAAAAACCAATCCAGAACCCCGTGTCTCTGACGACCTTGTAACCAATACTCCAAAAAAAAATATATATATATATATGATAAGAATTATACCAACTGAAGGGTTAAGATGGTTGGGAAAGTTTCTCCCGTCGCTCAGTATACCAACGCTCCAAGCATGCGCGTCTCTGCGCCTGCGTCATGCCCTCTACGACAAGGGCAAACTCGGTTGCGTTTGGGAAGCCGTATCGTCTCGCCATGCTGCAGAATTGTCGTTTCATGACACGCTTTGGTGGATGGAATTTGTATTTGATTGATTGATTGGTTGTAGATGACGACTTTTTATGAGACTGCGATTGCGACTGCGATCCTGCAAATACTTGCATGTCGAGGTTCTTGGTATTCTCATCAGCTAGTTCGGCGCGACGGCTGAGTCGTTCCTCGACTTTGGATGACCCGATGACTTCGTTGTTGAGGTGGGTGTATTCGACCCCTGCGCCGGCGAGGATGGCTTGGATGGGGTCATGTTTGGTATTGATGGGAGTTTTGGGGTTGGTGGATTCTTCGTCGTCCTCGCCGCGAATCATGGCTGCTAGCTGGCTCATGACTTCGTTGGTGTCGTCGGATTTGCCGGTGAAGGTTGCGTCGGAGACGTTGGGGTCAAAGTCTACGTCGATGTCCATAACCTGGACGCCGGCTTTGCTTTCTGCGACGTTGGTTTTGTTGACGATGTCGCGGAGAAGGATGTTCTGGTTCTTGTATTCGAATAGATTATTGAGACCGAAAAGCTCGCCCTTTTGGTCTTTCTTCTCTTGGACACCCTTGAAGTAGCGGCGTTCCGAGCTCGCGTTGTAGCCGATGTTGGCTTGTTGTTGTTTGTAGATCTGCCGGGCATAGACGATCTCTTCAATAGTTCCGGCGCTGATGAGCCGGAAGACTTCGACATCGCGAGATTGGCCGATACGGTAGGCGCGATCTTGCGCTTGAAGGTCATGCGAGGGATTCCAGTTGGGATCGACGATAACGACTTTGTTGGCGGAAGTTATGTTGAGTCCGACGCCACCAGAGCGGGTGGAGATGAGAAAGACGAATTGGCGTGGGTTGGAGTTGAAGTCGTCAACAACTTTAGTGCGCTCTTCATAGCTCATAGACCCGTCGAGGTAGCTGACGTTGTAGCTGGTGTAGTGAAAAAGCATCTGGAGCATCTTGAGGAGGCGCACACTGTGGCTGAAGACGAGCACTTTGTCGCCATTGGCGTGCCACCACTTCAGCAGTCGACGAAGGACCTTCCATTTACCGCAAAACTCAGGGTTTGCGTAGTTGACAATCGAGTCCCGGGAACGGTAGAGCTTTTCCCATTGCTCGGGCACAGCCAGTTCCAGCATCTCTTTGTCCTTTTCTTGTTTCTCGTTAGAGTCGACTCCCTGCGGGATGAGGATTGCTAGGTGGTTGCTGAGTTTCTGCAGCACTGCTATCGCAGGAAAGACATAGCTTCGCCAGGTGAGCCCGGATGGTAGAAACTGACGACAGCACCAGCCGGCTTTCTGCCGGGAACCACAGTCACAAGGGTCGCTAGAGTGTTTTATATAGCTGACCATGTCGCTTCCTAGAATGTTCACGTAGGCGTCAGCCTGAGTGTCAGTGAGCGGACAGAAGACGACCCGGTCAACCTTCTTGGGGAGCTGGTCTGCAATCAGTGTCTTCATCCGGCGAAGGAAGAACTGCGGCAAGAGGTTCTCCACCAATTTCTTCGCCGTCTTTCGCGCTCTACGCAGCTGATGCACGGTGGCGTCGTGTGACTGACCAATTTTCAAAGGTTCAGAAATGGTCTTCTTCCAGACAGTTACCGGGCCGAGCATCCCTGGATTCGTCCAGTTTAGAAGGGTCCAAAGCTCCTCGTATTTGTTCTGAATGGCGGTTCCGGTCAAGCCGATTCGGCAAAGAGCGTTGATCATGTTCATAGCTTTGGTCGTTTCTGACTTGCGCTCCTTGATGACATGACATTCATCCGCTATCACACAATCCCAGTCGACCATATTGATAGCATCCTTGTTGTGGAGATAGGTACTATAGGTGGTGATCAAGATTTCCAGTCTTCCGGACCGCGCAGCTTGGAGCGCAAGCTCCTTGTTCTCACCATGGTAGGTGTCGAGATGCCACCAGCCCCAACGCGAAAGCTCGGCCATCCAGTTCTTAAGAAGAGTCCCTGGGCAGACAATCAATGTTCGGGGATACCACTGATCGTGCCCGCTTCTCCGCATCTTTCTCATTCGCTTGGCGTCTCTCTCATCGCCCGTCTTCCCATACGCCGCTGTGAGGAAAGCAATAACCTGCACCGTCTTTCCCAGACCCATGTCATCTCCAAGGATTCCGCCCTTCTGGTAAACAAACAGCTCATGGAGGAAAGCAGCTCCATCGACCTGATACTGGCGCAACCACTGTGCGATCGGAGCTGGTATGAGTCCCAACGAATAAGGAAGAGTGATGTCCTTGTACTGATTGCATGGCTTCATATTCTCAAAATTAGGCTTTTCCGCCAAATATTCCAACCTCTCATCGTCGGAGAATTCAACATCGTCATAGCCTGGCGGCAACTTCAGTCCGGATTGCTTCAAATACTCTGTCCTCCGATCAAACTGCGAGCGTCGTTTCTGGAGATAATCCGGTAAAGTATATTCCATCAGTTCATCCTCCGATGACACTTCCTCTCCGTAGACTCGTAGTGGCCGTCTCGGTCGGGCTTTCCCTTCGGAACTTGGAAGTCGGCCGACGATGGAGTTTGAGCTTGCGACTCTCGTCACCTTAGCAGCTCTATTCTTCAGGTTTGCGGTGCTCCGTTTCCGTTTCGTGGCCTTTCGATTCTTGAACTCCTTGTAAGCGGCCTCGCCTTCATTGAAGGAGTCATCTCCGCTGTCGGTGTCGACCACCTCCACCACTGCGTGGCTCTTCTTGTCGAGTGGCGAAGAGGATTGCTTGACCGTAGTCGGCATAGTGTCTGCCGACCGGCGTGGAGTCGTCACTTCAGATTTTGGGGCATGGTCCCTACCTATGATCATCAAGCAGTTAGATATGTCTTGTTACTAGGTATGGATAAGGTGCGGGGACAGACCAGCGACAGAAAGCGAAGTAGGCTGTAAGACCAACGGGCGTGTCCCGTCAAGATCATCGTCATCTGAGCCGACCGTAGTCGCGTCAGTATCCTCGACCTCCACGTGTGAGCCCATGTCCGCCCGAGTTCTGGCAGAAGCTATCTGGACCGACCGTTGAGGGGGAAGGCTGAAGCAAGTGTAAGAGAAATGGAGATGCGGAGACGCGATGGAGTCAAACGGGCTTCCCGATTGGGCAAGCAGCTGACTGAAGAATTCCGCGCCGAAAAGTCAAACTCCGCAACCAATTCCCCTCTTCTCCGCCCATTGCTCGCCCTCGACTTGAAACTGAGCCTGCATACTACGTCGCTTTGTACCTGTGCTCGAACTGAATTCTCCGAACCGGCTTTCTTATTCTTTCGACGAATTTTGACAGTGCATGGCGCGGGGAACCACGCCAAAACTTCCTCCATCTTGATTTCGGCATACCGATTGAAGCACCTCCCAGTTCACAATGCCTCTCGACACATCCACAACATATCCCCTCACCAAGCTTCGCCTTGATGGCCGTCGCTGGAATGAGCTTCGATTGCTCCAAGCCCAGATTTCCACAAACCCCGCCAGTTCGGGCTCATCCTACTTGGCTATGGGCAACACCGCGATCCTGTGCTCCGTCCACGGTCCCGCAGAGGGACGTCGCGGTGATGCCACGGGTGGTGCTGCTGGATCAGCAGGTGCGGTAGTAGAAGTGGATGTCAATGTTGCAGGATTTGCTGGAGTGGATCGCAAGCGCAGAGCCGGCGGAAGTGACAAGTACGTTTACTTCTCATTGTCGTCATGTCTGTTGTGTCTGCTATGACTGGTACTGACTGAAATTCTCGAACAGACAATCTTCGCGCGTCGCAACTATACTACGCTCTGCTTTCCAGTCGCATCTCCATACCCACCTCTACCCTCACAGTACGATCAGCATCCACGTCTCAGTCTTGTCGTCTGACGGATCGCTCCTCGCCGCGGCGGTCAATGCCTGTACGCTGGCGCTTGTGGATGCCGGTATTCCCATGCCAGGACTCCTCTGTGGGTGTACGTCAGGAATGAGCGGCAGCGCGTCTACACCGCGGGATCCAAATAATGACACATTGGACCCGCTGCTGGACTTGTCTCTGCCGGAGGAGCAGGAGCTTCCGTTCCTTACGGTGGGGACGACGACGGCTGTACCGGTGGGAGAGGCGGCTATGATTAACGAAGACGAGGACGAGATGAAGGTAGCAATGCTGACGATGGACTCCAAGGTGCATTGCACATACGTTGAGACAATGCTGGCGGTAGGAATTGACGGGTGCAAGCAGATCCGGGAGATCTTGGAAGGGGTGATCAAGAAGTCGGCATGCCGGTGATGACTTGGTTTTGAAATTCTGTTTCTTTATATCTGCTATCTGGGATCTTCTACAGGGCAGCGCGATAGGGCGAGTTCTGTTTATACCCAGTGATTGCCATGAGGTGTTGGGCGCGGCGGGATGGATCGTTTCAATGTGATATTTGAATATTCCAGCGAATACACAGCCAAGTTGCTAATCATGATGCTACTGTAGATCTGCTGTATAGAACATCCGATTCACTGTATCTTCTGGGCCCACTGGTCGAGAGGCTACCTACTTGATTTGCTCAAACCAGAGACCGTCTCCCTTGACGCGGCAGGGACTCTTTCTACTGTGGAGAGCGCGTTATTCATACAGAAATAACATGAGAAAGATGGATGTGCATACAAGAACACGCTCCTGACATACACGTATCCAAAGTCGGAAAATTGAGTCCCTAGCTTTTGCTCTCTTCCTCACTGCTGGTTCTTCTCTTCTTTAGTTAATCTGTCTCTATAGTCCTTACCATCTACCCTTTCCCATCCTTCCATTCATCCACCTCACTCATCACCCCTCAAACACCATCGACAACTCGAATATGACTACAGAAACCACCACATCAGCCATCATGGACGCCAGCATCACTGCCACCATGCCCATGGCCATGGCCTCTACCAACTGCAAGATCTCAGTACACTCCCCCCCTCCCCACCATCTTCATCCCAAACCTGTACCTCCCTACTAACCATATCCAGATGCTCTGGAACTGGAACACCATGGATGTTTGTAAGTCATCCAACACTGCCCAAAACCAAACCACCCAGCCACCCAGGACACTAACCCCAAGCAAAAAGGCTTCATCTCCTCATCCTGGCACATCACCTCCCCAAGCATGTTCGCGGGCTCCTGCATCGGAGTCATCCTCCTCGTCATCTGTCTAGAACTTCTCCGTCGGGTTGCCAGCGAATACGACGCGTTCATCATCAACCGCGCCAGACTTAAAGCCCAATCTCTAGATGCTGATACTGATACTGATACTGAGAACGATCAACCCAACATCGCAGTTCCTAATGACCACCCCACAGACAGACCCGTCAAAAAACCCATCCCATGGACGCAGTCAGGTTCACTTTCAGCTCTGCCTCCTGTTCCGGAGTCAGCAGAGGAGAAGGAGGAGGAGGAAGATAATGAACCAATGCCTAATGCGCCAGAAACTACATCACATCCTAGTATACACCCCAAGAACCAGTCAAAATTCATCTTCAGACCCAGCAAGATCGAGCAACTCATCCGAGCCACCCTGCATGTATTGCAATTTGCTGTGGCGTATTTTGTGATGCTGCTGGGGATGTACTACAATGGGTATATTATTCTTTGTATCTTTGTTGGGGCATTCGTGGGGTTTTTGCTCTTTTCGTGGGGAGGCAGTCTTAGTAGGGAGAGAGTTGGTTCGATTACCTCTTTACTGGATTATGCTTATGCTGTCTGCTGGTATTGGTAGCAGCTGACGATGAGTACTATGTTAAGTATGTTCAGGATCAGGAACGACGCCACATCCGTGACTAGATGCTGCGGCTAGGTGGGTGGGGGTGTTGGAGCTTAGTTTGACATGATGCCTTTCTTTCCGTTGATCTTGAGAAAGTTGCAGTGATTACTATTCTTGAGAGGGGTGGTGGTTTTTAGATGCCTTTGGAGAGTGTGGATGGTAGGGTTAGGGAATGATGTACGTGTAGGTAGGTATGTTGGAGAGAGTCTTTCTTTCGGGGTGAACTACTACTACTTTTCGGGAGTGAGAGAGTACTATCAAGGGATAATAGCACCGGTGGTAGATTAATACATGTACTATGTGCATAAGACATTATATTATAATAAGAGTCTGGATAGAATATGTCTTTAATAAGAGACTACACATAAAAGTGCAAGTACTACTAATTAGATAGTAATATGATATCATAAAAACTACCTCTTCTAGATAAGATAAAGAACATCCTTTCATAACCCTGAGAAAATCATCTATGTCATAATCTGGATATGAAGAATTTGTTTTCGTTTTTCTCACTAAATGAATAAATAGGCACTCTTAAACTAACACCCAACTTACGCCATACTTCCTCTCCGATCACATCATAACTTTAGCTTAGCTCAGCCCAGCTGAGGAGCCCCCCAGCCTTGGCCAGCCCTCAACCCCTCACTCCTACTAACCAAACTTCCAAGGTAACTTTACGTATACATACATAACTATCATCTAACCACAATATTAAGTATGCAAGACAAATATAATACTATATGGTTGAGAAATGAGGGAATAGAATAGATGAACAAAACATAGCTCTGCTCACACTGCCCTATGGTAAAGATAGTAGTCTCATTAAAGCCACCTGCATGCAACACAGCAGCAGTAGCAGCAGCAGCAGTAGCAGCAGTAGCAAGCAAGGAATGTAAATGGGAATGCGAGCCGGCCGTATTCGGAACCGGGAAACCAATCCGAGGTTCGAATTGCCCCTTGCCAGCTGAGGACTGGGTTGCTTTGCCCCCCCCTCCCCTCCCCTCCCCTCCCCTCCCCACCGGAGAAAAAGAGGGTTGAAGTGTGTTGGAGCGGGGTTGAGCTGTTAGTAGGACGGGTTTAGTGCTAGTCTAGGTTGCCACGTTCGGTGGGATCTTTGGCTGATTTTAGAGGTAGATTATGTAGGGATTTCGTCACTGTGTGGTTATTTACGAGGTGGATATTACTTTGGATCTTTCTATCAATACTGTGAGTGTAGAAAAATGGTTCATGGTTACAGCAATACGATGGTACAAGCTTGAAAGGAAACTTATTGACAATTGGTATGGACACTCTAGATTACACCGGGTAGGGAGAAAGAGAATTGTCCACCATTAATCCTCACAATGCTGGTCTATACCAGCTCGTGGGATGATATCCCAATTTTGCCATCTGTTATCCTTGAAAACTGCTTACAACTCACCGCAGTTGACGATGGTGGGCTTGACGTTGGAGCGGATGGAGCCGGAGGAGGAGCCGAGAGCCTCGATCTCCTTCACGACCTGCATGGACGCGTCATCGGCAACCTCACCGAAGACGACGTGCTTGCCATCGAGCCAAGAGGTGACAACGGTGGTGATGAAGAACTGGGAGCCGTTGCTGCAGATGCTGTTAGCTGTCTGAGGCCTAATTTTACGACGAGTGACAGTAGAACTTACGTGTTGGGACCAGCGTTGGCCATGGAGAGGAGACCGGGCTTGTTGTGCTTGTAGATGAAGTTCTCATCGGCGAACTTCTCACCGTAGATGGAGCGACCACCGGTACCCTGGATGATGATATCAGTCAAATCGTTCTCTCCCACACAGCCGCCCACGGAGGTGGATTGAAAATAGTAGGATTACTCACGTTGTGGCGGGTGAAGTCACCACCCTGGAGCATGAACTGGGGGATGACACGGTGGAAGGTAGAGCCCTTGTAACCCTGACCCTCAGGCTTGGTGCAGAGCTCACGGAAGTTGCGGGCGGTCTTGGGGACGTCCTTCTCGAAGAGGTTGAAGACGATACGGCCCGTCTTGGCTAGCGAGCAGGAAAGAGTTCCAAAAGTCAGCCAAAAGATCCAGCAAGCATTGAGAGAATGCATTTCAGTCCAAGGATGAGAAGAAAATCGCGATTGTGGGAGAGTTCCTTCTATGGAAGACATCCCAGCACTCCCATTTTCTTCACAAGGAGGGGTAAAATCATCCATGCAGGAAAAAGGGTGACGACAGCAGCGAAAAAACGACGAGAAGGGGAAGAGAACAACTTACGGGCACTGGAGCCCACGGGGGCGTACTGAACTTCAAAGAAGGCTTGAGTGTTTCCAGACATGGCTGCGGATGATTGATGGAAAGGACGAAGAGAGAGGAAGGAAGATTGCTTGCAATTGGGGATGGAGAAGAGGGGACGAGAAGCGAAGGGCGAGCAAGGTGGGGTTATTGTTGACCTCAGGCTTCGGGAGAACATTGTTGCTGGAGGGGCACTGGCTGGCTAACCGCTTCCGTCCTGTGCGTCAGCCCATGCGCGCCAATCATGCAACTTGCCAGGCCATCCGCCGTGGGCCTCAGGCCGCTCCGTGGAAGAACATGGAAGTGCTCCGACCGTCCAGTAGTGAAGTGAGTAGCTACCAGCTACTCTAGTAGTAACTTAAGTAGCTTGCTCACTCCAAAGCAACCGGACCAGGGGGGGGATAACTGCCATTGGTCCCCTTATATCATCGGGGACGGCCAATGCAATCGGGATGCATCACTTACAGTACTATCTAAAAAAGAATTGAGGTATAAAAGAATAATATCTCGTCTCACGAATTGCTGTAGCTGGTTGCTTGCTGCTTTGCTGGCGTGGAGAGCAAAAAGAACTGGAGAAAGCGCGTCGGACAGCGGAGGAAAATATTCCTGCTACTGCCCCAACCGGGGATAGCTCATGATTAGCTAAGACCCGGCTCGGTCGGAAGCTTTCCAGGACCAGAAATGGTTCTCACCTCTACAACCGCGCCAAGACAGCTGATCGTACACGTGATTGACCACTCAACACCTGTTTACTATGTAGTAAGGCAATTCTTATAGTTTCTCTAATATCTACCAGGGAAGCTGTCAACATTTACTACTCCATTCATCGCGGAAAGCAATGGCCGCAGCCAATCGAATACAACCACCACCAAAGTCTATCTATCGAGTCATCAAAACAGACTCCAGGAAAACAATAACCACGGCACACAAGAGAAAGAAGACCCCCGTATGGTCAATTCAAAAGTCAGAAAAGAAGAAGCAATTCCGGGGGAGGTTGAACGTGTAAAAAAAAAAAAAAAAAAAAAACTGCCGCAGTATAAATTCTGGAAGAAACATGAAATCAGTCCAGTCCTACAAGGACCCTCATGCAGAAAGGAAGAAAAAAGCGCTAATCAAATAGAAGCAGAGAAGAATATCAACCGCAAATCCAAAATAAATCAACAGAAATAAAGAAAGGGAGAAGCTGAATAAAAGTACATCGCTCCTGAAGTCAGGGTGCGTCTGGAAGAAAACAAGAATCTGTCGTAAAGCTCCACCAGATTACAACACGTCGTTCCACATGGTCGCTCGTTGTTATGCGTGATAACTGCAAAAGTTAAGGAAAGCGAGATTGCAAGGTCCAGCAGTTCGGTTGGTATCATGGTGCCAAATCAGCATGCTAGAAAGAGATAGAAGTGAAAAGAGAATAACGCCACTGCGATTCTCGGGCTGAACAAGCCTAGAAAGAAAGAATATCATGATGTTGACCTTCAGGTGGATGGACTATCGAAAGTCATCCTCCTCCTCAAGGCTCGCGGGGTCCAGCTGATGAGCAAGCTCCTTGGTAACCCGGGGAATCTCGAACGCGATAGGTGGAAGCTTGTTGGTTACTTCTCGAAGCCCCTCGGGGCTGCTAGAAGCCTCGCCCTCGGCCGCAGCGCCTACAAGGCGGTGCTTGTGGTATTCCAGCATCTCGAGGACAGGATCAATGCGTTGCTGAAGAGCCGGGCTAGCCTCTGGTCTCTTGACAAAGTGCTGAACCGAAGAGGTAACATTCGTCACCGCAGAAGAGATGGCAGAGACATGGGTGCTGATCGTAGTCAAATCACGAGCGGCTCGGATGCTGTCGATGAGGGCTTGGATTGACTGAACCAGGCCATTCGTCTGATCCTCGACGTAAAGCTGTCGCCTCAGTTAGCACACATTATCAATATCTAGAAATCTTATAACATACCTTCATCTCCTGAAGTTCGTGGTTCTCGGCCTGCGAGCTGTAGTCTTGCACTGCCACCGAAATTCCGTGGGGAGCGTCAGGCGGGGGGCTCATGGCACTGTAGACGGAATCATTGCGACTGTGTCGGCTTTGACTAGGAGCCACGCTAAAGTAGTCTGGAGACTTCATCTGACTCAATTGAACCTCATCGTCGTCTTCATGGGACTCATCAGGAGGAGTGGATCGGATCTTGACGAGGCGAATGAGTTCAATAACAGCAGCCGACAGATGAGAAGCCGCAGCATCCAGAAGGGAGACAGGTGAGAGCCCGTTGGACTTCACGAAATTCTTGGCTGCCGTGATCAGATTGTTCGCGGTGGTAGAAAGCTTGCCTATAGCCTTCGAACGCAGTACCGATGACCCATCGCTAGGGTCTTGACTTTCTTGCACGTCCTGCAGCATATGGCGTACCGCCATAACAACAGCATTGATCTGGCGTGTCACGACATGGTAATCTTCGTGGCGTGCAGTGTGTAGAAGCTCATCAATAGATATCTGGAACTTCGCGACATGAACATCCTTGACCAAGCCATTTTCATGGAAGATATCACGATCCCTGGTAAGAGTTGCGGCATCGGAACGGATTTCTGTCCCGATAGATGATGTGCGAAGGTGCCCTGCCTGCGCCTTTGCCTTCTCATAGCGGGTCTTCCACTGTTTGACTTGTTCCTCCAATCTGTGGACCTCGGTGGTAAGTTGCTCTTCGTGCTCCCACCGAGACTGGCTTTGCTCGGACAACTCCCTCATTTCCCTCAGGAAGCCAGCTGCCTCCCGTCTGACCTCTTCTGTCACTGACCGTTGCTCTTGCAACTCAGTCTGCAGGCTTTGATGCTTGATCTCAAGATCAGCAAAGCGGGCCTGCAGCTCTGGATCTCCAGTGCTTTGCCGTGATGCTTCTTCCAACTGGTTCCGGAGGTCGTTCTCTATGGCCTCATGCTCGGCCCGAACTTTGTCCAGTTCCAACTGCAGGTTGCTGTTCAGATCCTCGGCCTGGGAGATTTTGCTCTCCAGATCCGACTTCAGATCCTCCCATTCTTGCCGTTCGCTACTAGTGACCTGTGAATCCGGTTAGCAATCGCAATCAATGGGAGTCGAGGAAAAAAGCGTCTGCCTACATCTGACGTGGTTTGACTTTCTCGGTATTTGATAAGCTCCTCATCCTTGGACTTGACCAAGTCCTCCAAGGTCTCAACCTTGCTCTGATCTTCCTGGTACTTGGATATCTCCTCATCCTTGGATTTCAATAGGTCCTCGAGCTTGTTCACCTTATCCTGCAAAGCAGAAACCTGCGATTGACTTTCCGCCAAAGCCTTTCTGTCGGCGTCTGCTAGAGTAGCCCCTGTCCCCCGCCGACTTTGCAGAACCGCATCCAGAGCAAATGCATCGCTCCGCGCATCATAATCGTCCTCCGTACCTGCTCCATCATCGTCGTCCTCGACCATAGTACTCTTGTTCGGAACAATAGTGTTACTTTGGAACGATTTGGCCATTGGCCCATCACCGTTCATGCCTGGCGGCGGCCCACCAAGTGACCCTTGGCGTGGGGGATACATCGGACTTGCTGGAGGTCCACCAGGGGGATAGCCCATTCGAGACGGGGGCCCCGAGACTGCGAACGCGGCCCTCCCGGCGTCGGAGGGTATCCGTTCGGTGGATAGCCATTGGATGGCCGTCCGCGGTAGCTGGGGGCCGGACTCAACCGACGAGATTCCCTAGAAGGAAATTGAGGAAACCGTCGCTCTAACTCGGTATAGACATCCGTCGCGAGATCTCGGAAACGCTGGTGCTGAAGCGAAGCAAGCTTTTGGCGCGCCTGATTGCGCTTTTCATGGAAATCCTTGCGCGGTGGCAGGAACGGGGGAATATCAGGGCGAGGGGGTCGATTCGGAGCCGGCATGGCTGCTTGTCGCCGGAGCAGTTCATCATAAACGTCGGTACTTAATTCGTGAAACTGAGTTGCGGAGAGTCGTAGCAGCTTGTCGCGGGCTTTGCTTGACTTGTTTGCTCTATCATCGCGATGGGACGCATGAAGGAACCTCCTGAGGGCAACGTAGTGCTGACCTAGGACCTCCTCCATCCGCTTGTGTCGCTTGCTGCGTTGATCCGACAAAGTACCATCGCTCGATCGCGCTGCCACCGAGCTCGGGGGAGAGGGATTCCCGGCATCGCTGACCGGGCCCGATGAACCGTTTGTCAGTCCTGCGCCATTTGAACCGCTGGGTACACCGGAGGTAGGGGGTGTGGCAAGGGCGCTGCGAGTTGAGAAGGTCGGGGAGAAAGGCGGATCCGATTTCTGATACTGATTGATGCCGGACCAGTCACTCCCGTCCACGGAGACAGGCGACATAGTCCCGGAGGGAGCGTTCATAGGGGGGTTTGCTGTCGGTAGGCCCGTGGGCTCCGTGCTAGCTAAGAGGTAGGGGAGATCTGGGTCGGTCCAAAGCCAATATGCTTATCACTATGCATCCGAGGTAGGGTGAGGTTGCGGCTCCAAGGCCATTGATGAAGACTGAGTATAGGTATCTGAGAATCGGAGGATTTCGCTCGTGGCGGGTGATAAGGAATGGACGGCCGCTGCGACTGGGAGGGGGGTTAATGCTTCCTCCGAAGAGAATGAAAACAAAGGAAGGAGGAATCCGATGCGGAATGTAGAATAGAACGTGCCGGAGGCACCGATGTCAACAGAAATCGGCACGGGGATACGACCGGTCACCAACAGGCATACCAAATTAATAAATTAAATTGTAGCGACCACAAAAAAAGACCTAAAGCGGCGGCCTTTGGGGAAGGGGAAAGGAAAATAGATCAGTAGGGATTGGACCCAGGCAGAAACAAGCAGCGGGAGAAGCAGCAGCCACCGCCGAAGTTGACCTGGGTTTGGCGACGCCCCAAGGAGTGGAGTTTGGAAAAAGGGCCGGAATAGGGAGTGGTCGAACTTCTTTTGGAAGGGGGGGGGGGAAGAGGACTTGGAACCGAAGGGGGAAAAGGTTGAATGAATGACTGACTGACTGACTGACTGACTGACTGACTGACTGACTGAATGAATGGAGATGGATGAGAGATGGGCTAGGCTAGAAAGATGGAGCCTTGGGGGGGGGACGGGCGGACACGATGGTGAGCAAGTGAGAGAGCCAACGACCACTTCCTCTTGGAACGGGAAATTATTTGGCGGCTGATGGAAGATACATCCACAATACCTACTCAGGTACCTTACTAGAGACCTTGGAAAGAACTCCGTTCATACCATACATACCTGGAGGGTATGGTACGGTATGTTCGTACGACCTCAACCTCCATGCCAGAAGCGCCTGTCGCGGACAAGTTCTTTCTCAACTTACCTTTACTTTTTTTTACTCCACGGATCTTGCGATCTAGGATGTGCGATCAGCTGGAGTTATCATTCTTATCCATGATATCTATCCTTACTTATCGCAAGTAAACCTGAGACATTTTCCATCATGACATCGGGCACTAGACTTTGAGTGGGTTACTACAACTACATTCTGAGACACAAACAACCACCTTCTTCTAGTTACCCTACCAGAGGCCAAAGATCGCCTGGGATAAAGACAGT